CTTATTACAAATATCGCATTTGAAAGTACGTTCTTCACTATGAGTTAAGTGATGGCTTTTTAGTTGCCCTTTCCATTTGAAACCCTTATTACAAATATCGCATTTGAAAGTACGTTCTTCACTATGTTTTAAGTGATGACTTTTTAAATGCAATTTCGATTTGAAACCCTTATTACAAATATCGCATTTGAAAGGACGTTTTTCACTGTATGTTTTTTTATAGCTTTTCAGTTGCTTTTTCCTTTTAAAATTCTTATTATAAATATCGGATTTGATAGGTCGATCTTCATACTTATATTCTTTTCCACTTATCTTGCATGCATGAACTTTATCATTTCTTGAAAATAACTTCACTCGATTTCCAGATAGCTGCAAACGTAAATTCATGTGAGAGATTTCGTTTTCATTTCCAGTTTTGTGTTCTTTCATGTGTCTTCGCAAAAGAAATTGCCATAAAAACTTCTCATTGCAGCTTGTGCAGCAAAATGGTTTTTTTCTAATATGACAGAACAGATGTGTTTCCAATATTCTCTTATTTGTAAATGTCTGTTTACATAATTCACACATAAATTCTTGTTTAGAATCTGATGCGATCATAACCTTAAAGTATTTCCTTTTAATCTTGTCATGAATTTTATTGCATTTTCTGCTCGATGTAAGGTAGCTTTTTGTTTTGATATTATATTTAAATTGTTTTTCTATTTCTGAATTCTGCTGGATATTGTATTTCTTAATTTCCTCTTCTTGCTCAACTGAAAGATTAAGAAATAACATTATAAATTACCTATTATATTTCAATAAACATAACATAGTTTCAATGTTAAAATATTGGTGTTCAAGTTATATAATTGGTAAAGTAAACCTATGTTTTTCATTTAAAAGCAAGGCATAATTTGTTGTTTGCACTAAAAGTAAAACATTTTACACTTTACAATCTAACTAATTGAATCAGCTTTAGTTGTTTAGCGGACTTTTAAATAAGTGTAAAAAATTAAACTGTTTCACTTTAACTGTTTATATTTATTAAATTTATGTAATTTTTTCCAGTGGTTAGCACAGAAACGTGGAAGAAATCGTGTGCTTTTAAAGAGAAGAAATCCTTAGTGTAAAAAAAGTACCACAGCAAGTCTATGGATTTTAAGTAGAAAGGCAAGATCGGTGTATTCTTCAGATTTTTTGAATAATTTTAGCGTATGTCCAGTAGATCTGTACAACGTTTATCAAGAATATTAGCAACGTTTTAGAAAACACGTTGCATATATTCACTTACTTATGTTATTAAATTAGTTATATGGCCCTCGTTCACTTCGATTCAATACATTTTCTTTATTATTTTAGCGGATCCATAAACAAAGCAGATAACATGAATCATTAAATCACAACTCATGAGTTGTTATTTAGTAATTGTGATCATCCTAAAGCATTTTTATTAACTACAGAAGTTATATTAATATGTTATAGGAGGATACGTATAATTCTGAAATATCTGATCCCAGTTAAATGTTTAATAGTTGAATCTTGAATGCAGTTCTTCAGCTACCCTCTGAATAGTACTAATATAAAAAGTTTGAATTAAGTAAACATGTTACTTACTTTTAATGTTCGTTTCATTCTTGTTAAAATTTTCGTTTGGAGTGAAATATTCATTGTTGACAGGCTAAACAATATGCAAATAATACATGACAACCACTAATAATTACTTATAATATATAAATCAGTAACGAGTTGCTCAACTTTCCTGGCAACGTTTTCAAATTTTAGTGGCGTGTGTTTAATAAAACGTTTTTAAAATGAAATATTATATTTTTAACTATTATAGAAAACAAAGAACTGAATTTGAATGAATGAGTCCGACCCTAATGGAGATAATGAGGGTCGTGTTTATGTCCTTAATTTCTTGATTTTTAACCAGCAAAATTCAATAGCGTCAATTTCACTAATAATCAAACTTTCCAGCAAAATTTCAGAAATTTTCAACAAAAAAAACAGGAGTTATTAAGTGTCAAACAGGGTGAATAAATTCGTGCACCTCCACACTCTAACATCCATACAAAGAGATAAAACCCAAGATTATTTTGACATTTGAAGGAATTCTAAATTTAGAAATGTAAAAATCTTGGGGGTCAAAAAATGACTCCCCAAGCTTTTTACATTTCTAAATTTGACCGATCGTCACTACTTTCCCTTTGTTATACATAACAACCGAAAAAGTAATACGAAAATCTTATAAATTAAAAATGCATTTTTTGTGATTGTATATAAGCGACATATTAGAAAATTGTATTGAAATTAATTGTTTTGAAAATTTTGTAGAAATTATTTAGTCTTTTAAAGAAATTAACAAAATAACAAGCGAGACTCTACATGTTCCATCTTGTACATTGAGAAAACATATTACTAATGAAGTAGTAATGTTATTTGGATTTACTAATTATTTTTGACTTAAATTAGCATCGTGTCTTCTACCGTACGATTTAACAGTAGAAAAATTCCAATGCGTTTAGCCTGTTTTCACGCCATCATTTTCTTCAGGAAAATATATAAAAATTGTATACGCACTTTACATTACTTGCAAAAATATTTAATAATTAAAACATTTCTGCATTAAAATCGCTTGTTTCTTTACAGTGTTATTCATAAATGCTTACACAATCATTATTTTAATAATATACGTCGTAAATTCAACCCAAACCAGAGAAAAAGCAAACGTTTAAGCCGAACTCCTACTCGTCACGTTTCACGTTCCAAACGACATTTTCAAACTTGTAAAATTACAAGATAACGACGCTCGACGTTCACGTTTTAGCGATGAAAAATTTGGTCGCAACCTCTTTATTATTTATTTGTAATCAACTGCTTCTAAAAGTAGATAAAATTAAAAATTGCAGTGTTTATTAATTTGTTGTAATCTCTGTTTATGTAATTGCAGTATTTCATAGTATTGTAAAAATAAATAAATCTGGTATTTTGTGCTATCATCGTTGCAAATGGCAACAAAGTAAATTTTGCCTACGTTTCGTAAATCTTAGGTCCGCCTGTATGCCGGGCAACCTTTCTCAACATGTGGCCACATCCATTGTGAACCTGACCAATGAGTCTGAAATAAAAACTCATTGTTTATACTCTAATTTATCGTGCACTAAAAAGCAGGAGTACTCAAATTATTTGAGTACAAAATTGAGAAAGTTTGAAACAGTATAATTTATATATATAAACTTAAGTTGAAATTTGCTTCTTACTTTTAGGAATGTTTTGTATGCATAACAATATGAATATTGAAATATGGTGAATTTTCGCAAATCTTCAGATGTCGAGATTGTCTACACCCAAAACATATGGCAAACAATTAAGTGAATATCTGTGCTTGAACATGTATTTGCCACCTAGTTAGCCTAATATTTCAGAATAAATTGAACATTAAGAAACTAAATTTAGTAGTGTTCATTGTCTACAAGGGACATTAATAATATAAAATTTTGGCAATAAAACTTCCACGAGTGAAGAGATAGAAGATGGTCACGTGTAAAATCTCGAGTGGGATCAGACTTCATTAAAATTGTATTTGTTGTTAGCATAGTTTGTGAAATGCATTTCTACCATTAAATTTAACTATTTCTTCATTTTATAATAATTAAAATTATAGAAAGTTTTTATAACACATGGCGCCAATGACAATTTTATTTATTTATTATAATGAATAATATAGATGTTATTTTTTAAATAAAATCTCTTAACAGCCAGAAAACTTTCACAATTCGTTACTAGATTTTTTCTTCTATAATACATTTTTTTTTTATTTAATACAGAATACACCTAACATCAAAGCATAATATTCATTACTAATATTGACCTACATTTTCAACCATTCAGAAACCTATGTTAATATTAAAGTTTCACTGTAAAATATTTTGAAATTTCTATTACTTACCAATACGTTTTCATCATCATCTGGGAGATGAAAAACTTCTTTATAATCTTCAGTCTTTACTTCAATCTTCAATTTTTTAAAATCAAGTTTACATTCTGATTTTATACCATGTTTTACATCACAATTCTCTTTTATTTCTTCTTTCTTAATATCTGTAGTGAAATTTACAATCTCTTGTGTTAAAGTATTCTATTAAAAATTTGAAATATAAAATAAAACTGAACATATTTTCATTAAGATAACAATATTAACATACTTTATTATATTAACAATAATATTAACGTCTTTCACTACATGATTTATTTCTGATTGCAAGCCAAAAACTACCTTTGAATCACGGCGAATTGCTGTGATGTGAGATACAAATTATAATAAGTACGATTAAAAACTTGTTTTCGTTATTAAACAGACCAGCAACGAGTGCTTATCTTTTCCGGAAACATTTAATACTACGGCTGGCGCCATCTCTTATGTTATTTTGTTTTAAATATTTTTATATTTTTAACGATTATAAAATTAAAAATGCTTAATTTTGAGGATAAAGATGTGTTTTATAAAAATTGTATATTAGAAAATGAATAAACTCGTCATTATATCTGACCTTACTGAAGATACGACCCGCATTATCTCTATAAGCCCCTCGACCTTTAATTACAAAAACTTAAAAGCATCAATCCCATTAATAAACAAACCTTCCTTTTAAATTTAAGAAATTTTCGACAACAAGCACAGTAATTATTAAACTTTGAAAAGGTTGAAGAAAATCATCGTTTCCCTCCACACACGCTGACATTTATGCATACAAAAAGTACACGAAATTTTTTAATTTCTCGTCGTTTTAAGTTGTCTTAAGTTTAAAAATGTAAAAATATTCGTAACGATTATTTGCTGGCAGACTTCCCTTCTGTTATATATAAGAGCCGAGAAAGAAACACTTAGTTAAAGAGTTAAATAATCACGAATATAAAAATTTTGAATTAGAAATTTACAATAATTTTACAATATATTCTCATAGTTGTTACATATTACAATAAAGTTATGTTAATTAAAGTTCAATATTCCGGTGTTTTCCCATTTTAGACGTTCTGACCATCCGTTAACACAACAACATAAAATACGTCGACAAATAAAACTACAAAATTCTATTTGTCGACGTTGATAACTTCGTCTGAAAATTTAGACATATGTACGATGCACTGTACAATGTGTTAAGTATCTGCGTCACTCCCTCACACTTCGTTTCAAATATAATACCTAAATTTATATGCAATAAAAAGCTGAGTGTTAAAAGTACAGATGAGTTTTATTTATAGATACATAAAATTAGTACTTTAAAAACTTAGAACCTGAGAAGTAACAATACATCCGAGTCTCAGCACCCATTAATGGAAAACCCGCTATTTTCAGAATATCATAGACATGTATTGATAAAAACAGTAAAATAAATACCAACAGACTTCTTCGGCATTTGTTTTAAAAAAACTGGAATTTATTCATATAATTGGGTTGTAATCTGAAAAAATTTAAGACCTATAAATCCTCACTGTTGTCTGTGTGACAGTCCTTTCTTAATCTCGAGAACGGGCGAAGATGATAGACAAGACTAGGTAATATGGAGATAGTAAAAACAGGAGACCCCGATTAACTGTGTAAAAACGTTTGGAGAATATTGAAAGTCGTATTATTTCAATTAAAATCTTTTCTCCTAAAAACAGTTAATTAAAGACCGGCATAACTGCATTGTTATATGAAAAGTATAATGTACACAGGCAAGCCTCTACTAATTTGAGATAAAAACCATATATTTTAAATTACATACATTAGAAATATGATTAAAATTGCAACCCGACATTGTGACGATGTCATAATAAATAATTGCTCGTTTCATTGAAATCTAAAACATATAAATTGAACTTTTCTATGTTGTATGATTCCGATCAATTGAATTAACAATTTTAAATCTCTCAACTAAATTAAATGTACATAATTGATAATACTGAATTCTACTTAATTCCTTATCCATTATACACGACGTATTCGCAACGTTTTTCAAATGTTATCATTCCCATTTATATGAATACTAGCATACCCGTCGCGCATTGCTGCGATCTCAGAAGAAACGAAATTCAAGCAAACTCGTTATGATAAAATTCAATTTATATTTTATCATTTTTATTGAAACTTATTATTATTATTCATTTTCATCGGGAAAACATTTTAAAGTGTCGTTTCAATTCTATTTACTTATTGAAGTGCTTGTGGATACACGATATTTTTTGTTTTTTCGTCTGGTGCGTACACGAATAAATCGGAAGGTTTTCCGACGCATGAGCCGGCCACATACGTGTGACCGAAGGGTCGGCACCTCTTTAGTGCCCTGTCAGGATGACACCACCGCGTCTCGGCGGACACGGAAGCCGCGTTATTTAGGTCACGCGAGCGGTCGCGTAACGGAGCGATCAGAGTCGAGATAGAAGGAGAGACAACGCACCGGAAGTGATTTACTCAGACGCTTTTTTAACGTAACAACTGTTTAATGGTTAACGATAGGATATACATTAGTGCTGCTGTTAGATACATTAGGGCTGCTATTAGATACATTGCTCGCTTTAGTATATAATAATATTAAGATATTACGTTTCTTCCCGTTTTGAGAGAGAGAGTTTACAGAAGTTCGCGTGTCGATAGTTACCTT